TTGTGAAGGTCACTGATTGACCAATGGCAGATGTGCTTTGTTGTTACCGTGGCGACTGCCGTTTAATTGCACTAATGACTTGTTTGGGTGTGGACCATTATCGAGAGGTCTGGTGTGGCTCACATCAGCTCAATGTTACAGCATCAGACACAGACCTGGAGCTGTGTTAGGATCCATCCATACTTTACCAGCAGCAACTTTATGTAGAGACTAGAGACCAGAGGGAGGGAGCAGAAAGAGAACGACCATAGGGAGGGACCAGGGAGACAGAGACCAGGGAGAGAGAGACCAGACAGACGGACTCCTTTTGGTGTCCCTGGTCTGCTTCATAACTGGTCTCTCTCTGGTCTTTCTCTGGTCTTTCTGGTCTCTCTGGTTATCTCGGTGGTCTCTCGCTAGTCTCTCTTTGGTCTCTCTGGCCTCCCTCTTGTCTCTCTGTTCCCTCTCTGGTCTCTCGCTGGTCTCTCAGGTCTTTCTCTGTTCTTTCTATGCTCTCTCTCTGCTCTCTCTGTTCTCTCTGGGGTCTCTCGCTGGTCTCTCTGATCTCCTACTAACTGGTCTCTCTCTGGTATCTCTCTCTGCTCTCTCAGATCGTTCTCACTGCTCTCTCTCTCAGCTCTCTCTCTGGTCCCTCTCTGGTCTCTCTCTGCATGGTCCCTGGTCCCTGGAGTGCCTCATCCCTTGGGTACAGAGTGTGACTGTGATTTAGTCCTGTTTATCGTATTTCTCTTAAACATTTACGTCTCGGCAAAAGGTGAAACCGGAGAGAGCGGCGTCTGCTCCGGATCGTGCCGCTGTTTGGGCTTTGGGACGTTTACAAGAAAGCAAAGCAAAGCATCATGGGAAGTCTGTGTGTCAGAGATACGGCCAAATACAGCAAGGATTCCAACAGGTTGAATCTGGAAAAACAGAAACACAGATGGTTCTATCTGCTCTACAGTGAGACAGTACAGACAGCAATTGGGGTTAGGGGTCTCTGTGATCTCTGTCTCACTCTTCTCTCTCTGGTCCCCCTCTCTGGTCTCTCTCTCTGGATCTTTCTCTAGTCTTTCTCTCTAGTCTCTCTCTCTAGTCTCTCTCGGGTCTCTCTTTGGTCTCTCTCGCTCTGGTTTGCCGCCCCCTGTGGTGAGTGCTTCCCCCTGTGGTGAGTTGATGTCACTGCGGCTGATGAGATAAAGTCCTGGACCTGGCGTCTGCAGAGAGTGTTCTGTTTATCTGATCTGCTCTAATGTGATAACACTGATGGACAGGCCCCAGAGGCACTCGGCCGCTCACAGACCAGGACCAGGACTGGAACCAGGACTGAACTGAAACCAGGACCAGGACAGGGACCAGGGCTTGGACCAGGACTAAGACCAGGGTTTGGACTAAGTTCTGCGCTTCCAGCAGGATATATGTATATATTTCTCTCTTCCACATGGTTATTGTCATGTCTGCAGCACAGAGACACTTCTCTCTGATGTTTGTTGAACAGTCTGACATCAAAGCCTTCAGACGGATTGCACTTGTTTTGCTCTTAATTTTTCTTTCATTCTTGGCTCAGTTGTGTTTCTGGGTTAGAACATGGAAGCACAGTGACCTCAGGACCATCGATCACAGCAGAGACTGGGGGCCTCCTCTGGGGTCACTATCCTCAGGAAGAGATAAGAGCAGGATGACAAGAGACGCAGAGACTGTGTCCTCAGATAACATATCCCCACGGGTACATGTACCTATGTCCGCACAGGTCACATGTACCTATGTCCCCACAGGTCACATGTACCTATGTCCCCACAGGTCACATGACATATGTGTCCACATTAGTGTCAAACATAACAAGTGTGTCCTGTCTCAGTGAAAACTCCAGCAGGTGGACTGCATCAGTAATCAGAGCTGCATGTGTGAGTGACGTTGTGAGATACATATGTAAAAACAAACAACTCCTGTGGCTTCAGTTTGAGTGAAGAACATGTCAAGCTTCTATAGCACTTTATATTTTTATGAAGACCAAGACCAGGATAAGTACCAGGACAACCACAGCTTCTGATTTGTTCATAACACGTCACTTTAAGACTCTGAGACAAAAGTGTGTTATTTATGAGGCAGATAAAGTCAGGTACCCGAGCTTTAACATGTGTGAGTTGCCGTGGGAGTGCTGCTCTAAACTTTCCCAGCCTTCAGAGGTCTCCCATCCGCCAGGGCGCCCGGCGTTTACCATCTGAGGAATGTTAAGGACCCGGAGTGGAGGAGGTGAAGCAGGTCAGGCCAGAGACGACACAGAGTCAAGGATCAGGAGAAAACACGAAAAATGTTTAGTCTAGTTTTAAACAGAGACATCACTTAGTACTGGCTTAAAGCTCAGGTCCCTAACTTTAAACAATCACAGTGTTTACTTTGTCATGTTTTAGAACGTGGATTATATCTCTTCTGTAGAAATGACATGGAGAAACAAGTATGCAGCCTGTAACTCTGTATGCTGCCACCAGAGGGAGCAGCGTCTGCAGTCAGAACTCCCTGTATATCCTTATGCAGCCACTAGAAGGATTGTAAAGAACCTCATTTCACCTGAGAAATGACTTAAACGTTTATTAGGATAATACTTTTGTTTTAAAAGCAGACAATTGTGATGTCATATATGACACTATAGTGGTCTTTCTCTGTTTTATGTGGACTCTCTCTCTGGTCCCTCTGTGGTCTCAATCTAGTCTCTCTCTGGTCTCTATCTAGTTTCTCTCTCTGGTCTCTCTGTGGTTTATCTGGTCTCTCTCTCTCTCTGGTCTCTCTCTGCTCTCTCTCTCTGGTCTCTCTCTGTTCTCTCTTTGGTCTCTCTCTGGTCTCTCTCTGGATGTAGATCCAGGACTAAGGTCATTATTAAACAAACACATGCATTTTCCTGAAACACAAAGTCAGGTACCCTGGCTGTGTGACATCACAACAGTGTGACATCACATTCAGACGTGTGAGTGACAGTGAGAAAACGTAATCCCTCATTTATCTCGTTCCCTGCTGCCGCTGTTTGCACAGACGGCCATCTTTGTTTTGCTTAGGTTTCGTTGTCTTAATAGTGTCTCCCTCCATGACCCAGCCGCCCCTTTGAGAGTGGGGGGGCGCCAGAACCTGAGAGAGGGTGCCAGATAAGGAATAAGAAGTATGTTATTGACTCATCACAAGATCACATTCTCTACACTTCCTCTGGCTCTAACCCTATGATATAAAACGATCTGTAAATATCTCTTAAGAGTCAGAGAGAGACTTTCTCTAGTTTTGCTCTGGTCTCTCTCTGGTCTCTTTTTGGTCTCTCCTTGGTCTATTTCTGGTCTCTCTCTGGTCCCTCTCTCCCTGGTCTCTCCTTGGTCACTCTCCCTGGTCTCTCTGGTCCCTCTCTCCCTGGTCTCTCTCTGGTCCCTCTCTCCCTGGTCTCTCTCTGGTCCTTCTCTCCCTGGTCTTTCTCTGGTCTCTCTCTGGTCCCTCTCTCCCTGGTCTCTCCCTGATCTCTCTCTGGTCCCTCTTTCTCTGGTCTCTCTCCCTGGTTTCTCTCTGGTCTCTCTCTGGTCCCTCTATCTCTGGTCTCTCCCTGGTCTCTCTCAGGTCTCTTCCTGGTCTCTCTGGTCTCTCTCTGGTCTCTCTCTCCTTCTCTCCCTGGTCTCTCTCTGGTCTCTCTCTGGTCCCTCTCTCCTGGTCTCTCTCTGACCTCACAGAATCTAAATCACAGGACACAGAACAAAGAGACCTCGACCAATTAACATTCCTCCAGTTTTACCTCCTTTTCCGGGACACGCCTCTCCGCTGCCTCACCCCCCTCTACCCCCTCACCCACCTTCACCCCCATCTCCCCCTCCCCTCACACCTCGTAAAAGACCCCACATCAATTCTGCCAAACCATAACTGTCAAATAATCCCATTTAAACAACCACAGCTACACACAGCCTCAAGGCAGAGTTCAGGTCGACACAGAAGTAAAGATGGAAAGAGAATATTTTTTATTTACATCTGAATTAAAGCTGAGGTCCATAACTTTCCGACCACAATAGAACTCTATATTAAACCCATGTTGCTAGTTCTGGCACTAAAACTGTTGCTGCTTTCACTAGTTTTCACATCATGTATTTCGGGCCAATGTCACAGCTTTAGACCATCTCTCTCTCTGGTCTCTCTTTTGTCTCTGGTCTCTTTGGTTTCTGGTCTCTCAAATCATGCATCTCTGGACTCTCTCTCTGGTCTCTTTCTTGGGTCTCTCTCTTGCTCTCCCTGGTCTCTCACATCATGCATCTCTGGACTCTCTCTCTGGTCTCTCTCTTGCTCTCCCTGGTCTCTCACATCATGCATCTCTGGCCTCTGTCACAGCTTTAGTTAAGCTTTTTCAGACAGAAAAGTGAAAAAGGGAGGACCACCTTCCAGGAGAGGGGAGAGAAGAGAGAGAGAGAGAAGAGAGAGGAGACGAAAGGAGAGAGGAGAGAGGAGAGAGAGAGAAGAGAAAGGAGAGTAGAGAAGAGTAGAGAAGAGGAGAGAGAAGAGGAGACAGAGGAGAGATAGGAGAGAGAGGAGAGAGCTCAGCTGATGGTCCGTTTGCTGCGTGTGTCGGTCTGATCTGTGTGAACCCTCTCGTCATCGAAGCACACTGTATTGTTAGAGCGCCCCTTGGTGGACACAGACTGCACTGCACTCTCGGAAATCATTTTGGAAAACGTAATTACAAAACGACAGGTGTAAAGTCAAAATATTTTTTTTTTTATTTAATTAGTGGACGGAACAATGTGGTAACAAGATTAAAAACTATTTTACATATTACATTCCTGTTCCTGCCACACACACACACACACCCATACATACACACACACACAAACACATACAGACACACAAACACACACATACACACACATCCACATGTACACGAACACACAAACACATACACACACTTAGGTCTATCTCCTGGTATTCAATGGTCCACTGGGTCTTCAGTTGTCCACCTTGTCTTAAATGGTCCTCTGGTCTTCATGGTCTTACGTTTATCCACCTGGTCTTCAGTGGGCTCTGGTGTTGAGCATAACCACTGGGATACTGCGGCCCTTCATCTCTCTCGCCATCTGGCACCAGCTGCAGGACGTGCAGAAGAAGCCATACACACAGTCCTGCCAGATGTCGCCCTGAAGAGCATTAGCATTAGCATTACCAAGATGGAACAGACAGTAGCATTAGCATTAGCATCACCAAGATGGAACAGAGACAGTAGCATTAGCATTAGCATCACCAAGACAGCAGAAAGATTCTACTGTTTCACCCTCAGACAAGAGGCCCCTGGCTCTTCACTGAATGGAGACAAAGGGAGGAGCCAAACTTCCAAGAGCCCTTCTCCTTCTCTGGGCTCTTGGGTCCATGAGTCTTACACTGATGCCGTAGCGCTGCCTCATGGAGGTCCTCATGGACGTGGAGATGGCAGGGAAGCAGCAGATGTACTCCAGCAGGGGGAGACACAGACACTCGCCATACTTCTTTGCTGTTACACAAGTGAAACACGGGAAGCACCAGAAGGCGAAGCAACCTGCGAAAACATGAGGAACATGGGGTCAGACCGGTTTGAGAGCAACTCCCACGAGTTCTGATCACATGACCACATTCTGATCTCACATGATCACACAGCTGCTGCTGCTGCTGCAGAGAGAGACCAGAGAAAGCAGAGCCCAGAGAGAGACCAGAGAGGGAGACCAGAGAGAGAGAGACCAGAGAGAGAGACCAGAGAGGGAGACCAGAGAGAGAGACCAGAGAGAGAGACCAGAGAGAGAGATACCAGAGAGAGAGAGATACCAGAGAGATAGATACCAGAGAGAGAGAGAGAGATACCAGAGAGAGAGAGAGAGAGAGAGAGAGATAGATACCAGAGAGAGAGGAATAGATACCAGAGATATATATACCAGAGAGAGAGAGAGAGAGAGAGATAGATAGATACCAGAGAGAGAGAGAGATAGATACCAGAGAGAGAGAGAGATACCAGAGAGAGAGGAATAGATACCAGAGAGATAGATACCAGAGAGAGAGAGAGATATACCAGAGAGATAGATAGATAGATAGATACCAGAGCAATAGATACCAGAGAGAGAGAGAGAGAAATAGATACCAGAGAGAGAGAGATAGATACCAGAGAGAGAGAGAGAGAGAGAGAGATACCAGAGAGATAGATGAGAGATAAGAGATAGATAGATAGATACCAGAGAGATAGATGAGAGATGAAAGAGATAGATAGATAGATAGATAGATAGATAGATACCAGAGAGATAGATGAGAGATGAAAGAGATAGATCGATAGATAGATAGATAGATACCAGAGAGATAGATGAGAGATGAAAGAGATAGATAGATAGATAGATAGATAGATAGAGGGAGAGAGAGAGAGAAACTTCTGAGAACTGAACATCTGGGTGTGTAATCTTTCAGGCACAGTTGTGGTTGTTCCTCTTTTTGAGAATCACTTTTTGAATAGTCTCACCAGAAGCTAAGCAGTGTGGTGCCTGGTCAGTCCTGTGATGGTAGACAGCTCTAAAGTGCTACCTGCCCTTGTGCCCTGTGGCAGCACACTTCTCATGGTGGGTGTGAGGCTTACATTGGGGGACATCATGGAAGCAGTCACAGATGCCTGAGCTCCACTCGTTGGAGGTCATGGACACCATCACGGGCTGAGGCTGCTGCACCACCATCTTGGTTGTCATGGTGATACCTGCAACAAAGAGTTGGTGTCACACATCTGCTCAGAAGTGTCGTTCCACACACGTCAGTTTGTATTGCACTTCCCCTGATCCCGTGTACTTGAGTCTGTGAGGTCTAATTAAAAGGACAGAGATGATCCAGGATGTTGGTCTCTGCTCCTTCAGGACCAAGACCAACGTGTTCTATTTTATTTCTTGTGTTTGAACTGTGTTGGCAAATCCAATGGTTTTGTAAAGTCCTGATAACACTGATAAGAATACATTGAATGTAATTGAGGTGCCTCCAGTGTGGACTCACCTCCAGCCCAAGCTCTCAGAGTTAATTCAATGATGTTGATGGTAAAAATTAGTATTTAAATCTGTTCGCTGCACCTACTTCCTGACGGCGATAAACAAACTGAAGGTTTCTTCACAACAGTCTCTTCAAGAATGTGCTGCAGGGAAGTAGGTGAACACGACTATTGTAGCTGCTCTCGTTGTCGAGTAGAGATCTAGTAGTCAATAGTTTGACTGACAGGTTTTCATACCGAGTTCCCGTGCCATCACGCACAATGGATTCAACACACGCTCTACAAAACATGAGCCTTACACTTTGTTCTACTCCGTGTAGAATTATCCTTAAATAATAATGCATTTAGATCTGCCGTCGAATTGACCAATCAGATTCTGTGCTTGGTCGAGCAAAGCATCTCAAACCACAGAACCTGCCTCACATTTACTGCTGGGTTTAAACTCTCCTAGTTACAGACCCCAGCTTTAAAGCCTTCAGCCTCTTACCTGCGTGTGTTGCGGTGTCTTGGGGAACAATCGATCTGATGGACATGAGACTCTGGCGACCGGACGATCTGGTTCCGTGTCATTGTTATTAATCTGAGCATCAGCTTCTGAGGGCGCGGCTCAGGAACGTCACATATTGGTGTTCGCCTCAAAGAAACAGGAATATTACAGTAAATGCAGTCCCTTAGAGCTCAGGTACTATAACTTTCAATAAACTAAACCCATGTCTCTGGTTCCTGGCTCAAAAGCAGCTTCACGTCTTGCTTTTTCTGTAATCTTTAATTCAGATTCTTCTGTTCTCTCTGTGGTTAATTCTGCTCTCTCTCTCTCTTGTCTCTCACATCATGTAGTTTTCACTTCTGCCAAATCTTTAGATCAGCTAATTCAGAAAGAAAAGAGAACAAGAGAGGACCCCCTCTGCAATCAATCAGCTCTCAGTCGACCTCTTTCACCGCCTGCATGTTTTCCTTTTGTCAGGTTTTAGTTGTTGTCAAATCATAATCTCTTGAGGTCAGAGACAAAAGAACAGAGGCAGAGTTCACAGAGACCAGAAGAACAGGCTCCACAGCTGTCTCTGAACGTTTTTCTTATGGTTAAAGATAAAACATAAAGACGAGTTTGGGAAGTGGTTCCCTTCTGAAAGCTAACCTGTGTTTCCATCTTGTGATGTCACATGTTTTATGGTGCTGTAATAACATCATTTGTCCAGCAGGGGACAGACTGCGACTATTCTGTTTGTTTGAATTTCCAGGTTTTATTCATCGTTTCACTTCAACATTCGTGTCATGAACAAAAGCAGGAAATGTTGATTTTGTTTTTAATCTCAAACATTATAGGATGCACTTCACAGCAGTCAAATTGACTGTCTTACAGTTTTTCTCTATTGCTTAAACACATTTCACGATACTGCCCTCCCTTTTCTCAAAACTCTAAACTACAAAACACTTTTCTAAAGCTACGTACACACAACCTCACAGTCTATTTTCAAAACCGACCCATCACACCAAAACAGTTGCTCATATCCTCAAAAGTAAACTCTGACACCAAAATACCTCTCAAGGTCTGCAAAAATGTGAACACTACTGAGCATCATTAACCACATTACCAAAACAATTGAAAACACAATTTTCAGAATGTGAGACTGTTCTTTTTACAGTGTCACACCTGCCAGGATGCATTTGAGCAACACTTTTTTATTCTCAAATATATTTTGGCCATTTACCATAGATTTGTGCATTTTATGAGAATAGTTACAAAAAGCAGAAAATGCAGTTATATCACAACTCAATGCAAACTTGAGTAACTATATGGAGGATCCATGACACACAATAGATACTACAGTACAGTAACAATTGAAAACACAATGTTTAGGGCAGTGCTTCTCAAATAGGGGGGGGGGGGGGGCGTGGTGCGATGACATGGGGGGCTATGGAAGATTTTTTGAATCAGATTTAGAATTTTTTTTTAGCTTGAATTTTTCCGTTTTACATTTTTAACCCTGAAAAAGCATGTTTGAATATTTTTATCTTTACATTTCAGTCACTAAAAATTCAGTTTACGATTAAAATTTCAAAATGACGTATTCACCTTCAAAATATTCAATATATATTTTTTCAATGAAAAAAAAAAAGACGGATTATATTTGAATGTTTTTAACATCTTGAATATTTTTTTCTGTGAATTTAAGTCACTGATTATCAATTTCATAATGTTAAATTCAACAGTCAAAATTCAACGAGAAAAAATTAAATGGTGAAAAATGCACATTACACATCCGGTGTTCTGACGAGTTGTGTGCTCTGTCAGTTGGTCTGCGCATAATGAACTTTTCTTCACTGACGTTGGAATCTCTCGTTATCTACATTAGACCCTTTAGAACAGGGGTCTCCAACCTTTTTCAATCAGAGAGCTACTTTTATACAAACAAACAGGCAGAGAGCTACTCCTTTTTGCAGTCGTAATAAAAGTCGATCTAATAATTACGACCAAACTCAGAGAACACATATAAAACACACCATAATAATGTATAACCCTATTTGTAATAGATATGTAATGGCTCAAAAAGTATTCGTTGAAGTGTATTTGTTAAATTCTAAATCCTTTGGCGAGCTACCTGTAAGAGGCTGGTGAGCTATGGTGGCTCCCGAGCTACAGGTTGGAGACTCCTGCTTTAGAACTAACGCTAATGGAGTTTTGTTATCTTAGAATATTTACGTTACCGTCACTTTAAGAAAGAGAGAGAGAGAGGTTTTGGTTTTTCTTTGTTTACGGAGCGAGTGGAGCCGAAAGAGAACGTAACTTTTCACAGCTCAAGAAATAAGCAGCCATACGGTGTTCTTACCGTTGTTACTTTATTTCAGAGACAACTCAGCAAATATCATTCAGTGTACAAGGGTTCGAGCTGTAGAACACATGTTTTTTTGTTAATTCCTTTACATGGAGCTCTTTCCACAGGGCTCACTCACTCACACGAGTGAGCCCTGTGGAAACTGCTACACGGGAAACTAGACCCAAATACTGTGTAACGTTACCAACAATAACACTGTCCTTTGTTGCTATAAATGTTCAAATGTGATGGTTTTCATGAACACAAACAAACACACACAGCCTAAATAAATACACAGGAATATACAGCAATAATTATTTGAAACAAGCACATTTACCCAAAATGTTCAAAAGACTAACTCATCAAATTAATGTAGTATCATCTTGTTATTCGCCTTGGTTTCATCACAATCCATTCATTAGAAATCCCATATCAACCTGTTAGACTCATGTTGATAACTTATCAACATGAGTCCTGCTGAAAGCTATCGCCTGTCTTTACCGCAGTAAAATGACGCATGCGCAGACCAACTGACAGAGCACACAACTCGTCAGAACACCGGATGTGTCATGTGCATTTTTCACCATTGAATTTTTTTGTCGTTGAATTTTGACTGTTGAATTTAACATTATGAAATTGACAATCAGTGACTTAAATTCACAGAAAAAAATATTCAAGACGTTAAAAACATTCAAATAGAATAGACGAATTCAGGTACATTTAAAATTGAATTTCTGATGGAACAAATAGTCCGTCTTTTTTTTTTCATTGAACAAAAAAATATGGAATATTTTGAAGGTGAATATGTCATTTTGAAATGGTAATCACATTGACATTTGTAAACTGAATTTTTAGTGATTGAAATGCAAAGATAAAAATATAAAAAAATGCTTTTTCAGGGTTAAAAATTTCAAAAGGAAAAATTCAAGCAAAAAAAAATTCCAAATCTGATGACACAAAAAATCTCCCACTTATTTGGAGGGAGTGCCGCCCCCCCCACCCCCACCCTCCCACACGGGGAGCGCGCGTGACCGTGGGATACATATTGTTTTTTTATGTATGTGGAACTGGATTTCACATGTTCTGGTGCTGCAAGGGACTGATTCCCATGTGACCAGCGCGGACAGGACAAGTGCGGATCTTTGCGCTACCTGTGGACACGATAAATCCACCGCTGTGAGAGAAACATGGATGAATTATGTGAGCCTCTGGAAGTGTCCCCCATGTCTCCACCTGTCGCCCCTGAAAAGCTGGGGTACCTACATTTCCGTGCATTCATAATACATGTTGCTCCTCTCCCTCCTTGGCCTGCTCCTCTCTTTGTCCTGTTCCTCTCCCTCCTTGGTCTGCTACTTTCCCTCCTTGACCTGCTCCTCTCCCTCCTTGACCTGCTCCTCTCCCTTCTTGACCTGCTCCTCTCCCTTCTTGGCCTGCTCCTCTCCCTTCTTGGCCTGCTCCTCTCCCTCTTTGACCTGCTCCTCTCCCTCCTCTGACACAAACTCCTCTTCTTCTGCCTTGATCATCCATTTTCGTTTTGAACCTGCACTGACTTATAAAGTTGTAGTCACATCATTTGCAGCAGGAGTTCTCAAATCTGAGTGGTTGTGTTTACTGAATGACACCAGGTCTGTTCATTGTGTTCAAGTTTTGCTGACTGTGGGAGGTATTTTGCATCACATGAGCTTCACAATGCAAATTGGAGCAGATATATCTACAAAATGTGTTTTAGCGAAGGAAAAATGTGTTTTAGCAAAGGCAAAATGTGTTTTAGCAAAAGCAAAATGTGTTTAGAGTTTTGAGAAAAAGGGGGTGGGTTTTGTGAACAGTCTCTGCAAGTGAATTGTGTTTATGGTTGCGAAAAGTAGTGGGTAGTTTTATTAAATGTGTTTAGGCAATTGGTCATTTGGTTTAGGGTACTGGGTTTGTTGTAGCAATATAGAAAAACTGTAACAGGAGTCAAACGGACTGTCTTCACAGCAGTCAAACTGACCAAAGAATGGTGTAGGCATGAGACAATGAGCACAAGCCACTGTTGTCAACGGCAGGAAACCTGAGGCAGGCATCTTGGAGAGATCAAACAAAGGCAGACATCTTGGAGAGACCAGGGGTAGACATCTTGGAGAGACCAGGGGTAGACATCTTTGAAGCCTGTGGCTCAGTCCCCAGATTACAGGTGAACAAAGAGAGCAGATGATTCAACCAAAGAGCAGAGTGAGGCTCTCATTTGAGTTGCCAGTTTCTTATCTATTACATAATAAAATTGAAAAACAAAAATAGCACCGCACTTTTATTTAAAAGACACACCCTTTCCTGACCGTGTAGAAATATATTTACATACATAAAGTATATTGAGCAAATGTAGTTTTAGTGTTTCTTCATCCACTCAGAGGCTTTCTGGTGCAGACGTGGTCTTCGTCGCCTGTAGGTCTGTGAGTCTTCTTCACACAGAAACTACAGAAACAAGAGGAAGAGGTCACTGAACCAGAGCTGTCCTCTTGAAGCTGAGGGACGTGACTTTAAAGCTGCACTAACTGACTTTATTTTTGTATTCATTACGAAAATGCTATCCATGTCCATGTAGTGCATTGGGATATACGTCCTTTTGAAGAATAATTAGCGCAGATTTGTGCTGGCGTGACATTATATTTTAGATCAAGTTTTGATGAAACAAGGAAGAGAATGTGTTTCGGGTCGCAGATTGTGACCAATCACAACGGACCACTGGCCCCCACTTTCGTGAGAAATCTACAGGTCCGTTAGCACAGACAGCTGAGTTAGCACAACAAGCGACGGAGCTAACCTGAAGCTTTCTCGTCTTCGTCACCGGTTACTGCTTACACAGCGACACAGCCATCCAAAAGAAAGTCCCATTCTTCCGCGCTTCCCGGTTCTATCGTTTTATGGTCATGCCATCCACGTGCAAATCCATGTCCATGTATTTATCCATATTGGGAGACACTAGCTCCGTCCCAACAGTGGGTGTGTGTGGGGGGCGATAGCTTCGTGGGTGCGGGGAGGGGAGCAGAAAGAGAGAGGCCAGCGAGTCCGCGGCTTCAAAATCCCAAAGTCAGTTAGTGCAGCTTTAAAGCTGGGCTCTGTAACTTTCAGACCACAATAGAACTCGGTATTAAACTCATGTCACTAGTTTCTGGCTCTAAAACAGTTGCTTCTATCACTAGTTATTACATCATGTGTTTCCTCCTCTTTTACAGTTTTAGGACCAGAGAAAGAGACCAGAGAGAGAGAGACTAGAGAGAGACCAGAGAGAGAGAGACTAGAGAGAGACCAGAGAGAGATACTAGAGAGAGACCAGAGAGAGAGACCAGAGAGAGTCAAGAGCGAGAGAGACCAGATATAGAGACCAGAGAGAGAGACTAGAGAGAGACCAGAGAGAGAGACAAGAGAGAGAGAGAGACCAGAGAGACACCAGGAAGAGACCAGAGATCGTCCCAAACAGACCTGGAGTTGGTTTTACCTCCATCCACATTTTAAAAAACTCCAGGTCAGACATGTAGCTCCACCCTTTCTGTCTAAAAGCAGCCCCCCCTGGTGGAGGCACAGGGCATTACACACAGACAGCTTTTATTTAACCTTGATGTATTCATTAAACATTTCAACTTTGATAAAAATGACAAAGTGACCCATAGTAGGTGTTCTTTAAAGCTGCACTAACTGATTTGGAGACATTTTCAAACGCAAGCGATGGCCTCGCTCTCTCTGCTCGCCCTCCCGGCACCCACGGAGCTTTCACCCCCCACTACCCCCCTCCCCCTCAGCCTGTGCTCTGTGCTGTTGTTAGCTTAAGAGTTAGCGTCTCACAATATGGAGCAATATGGCACCTTTGCACATGGATGGCGTGACCATAGAATGACAGAACCGGGAAGCGCGGCGAGGACGAGACTTTCTTTTGGATGGATGTTTCGCTGTGTAAGCAGTAACGAAGACACAGGAAGAATCAGGTTAGCCTCTGCCACTTGTTGTGCTAACTCAGCTGTTGGTGCTAACCAGAGACCTGTGGCTTTTCTCAAGAAAGTGGGGGCCAGCGGTCCGCTGTGATTGGTCACAATCTGAGACCCAAAACACATTCTCTTCCTTGTTTCCACAAAACTCGATCTACAATATAATGTCATGCCAGCACAAACCTGCTCTACTTATTCTTCAAAAGGACGTACAGTATGTCCCAATGCACTGCATGGATATGGATTAAATTTTTGTAATGAATACAAAAATAAAGTCAGTTAGTGCAGCTTTATGTCTCGTACCAGCGGAACGTCTGTATCTGGTCCATGGTCTCGGGCAGAGGGAGACCGCGGCTCTCCGGCAGCAGTAGGCTCAAGATCCCAGTCACTACGGTCAGACCTCCCATCAGGAGGTAAGGAAGAGCGATCCAGACACCCCCTGTGGAGAGAGAGAGAGAGACCATCAGGACAGAGAGAGAGAGACCCCCCGTGGAGGGAGAGAGAGAGAGAGAGAGACAGAGAGAGAGACCATCCGGACAGAGAGAGAGACCCCCTGTAGAGAGTGAGAGAGACCCCCTGTGGAAAGTGAGAGAGATAGAGAGAGACCATCAGGACAGAGAGAGAGCGAGAGACCCCTTGTGGAGAGAGAGAGAGAGACCATCAGGACAGAGAGAGAGAGAGAGACCCCTGTGGAGAATGAGAGAGATAGGGAGAGACCGTCAGGACAGGGAGAGGGAGACACAGAGACCCCTGCGGAGAGAGGAGAGAGCGCCACCACCAGGACAGGGAGAGAGAGACCCCTGTGTGGAGAGAGAAATATGAGAATGTGGTTGACAGCACACAGAGAAGACACAGAGAGAGGGCACAAAGAGGACACAGAGAGAGGACAGAGAGAGAGGACACACAGAGGACAAAGAGAGGACACAGAGAGGACACAGAGTGAGGACACAGAGAGGACAAAGAGAGGTCACAGAGAGGACAAAGAGAGAGGACACAGAGAGGATAAAGAGAGAGGACACAGAGAGGACACAGAGAGGACACAGAGAGAGGACACAGAGAGGACACAGAAAGGATAAAGAGAGAGGACACAGAGAGAGGACACAGAGAGGACAAAGAGAGAACAGAGAAAGGAGACAGAGAGGACACACAGAGGACACACAGAGGACAAAGAGAGGACAAAGAGAGGGGACAGAGAGAGAGACCAGATAGAGAGACCAGAGAGAGGACTATAGAGAGAGAGACCAGAGGGAGAGAGACCAGAGAGAGAGACTAGAGAGAGACCAGAGAGAGAGAGACCAGAGAGAGGGAGACCAGAGAGAGATCAAGAGACCAGAGAGAGAGACCAGAGAGAAACCAGAGACACGCCAGAGAGAGACCAGAGAGAGGACCAGAGAGAGAGACCAGAGAGAGGACCAGATAGAGACCAGAGAGAGAGACCAGAGAGAGGACCAGAGATAACCAGAGAAAGACCAGAGAGAGAGACCAGAGAGGGACCAGAGAGAGACCAGAGAGAGACTAGAAAGAGACCTGAGAGAGACCAGAGGGAGACATGAGAGAGAGACCGGAGAGAGAGACCAGAAAGAGACCAGAGAGAGAGCAGAGAGAGACTGGCGAGAAAGACCAGAGAGAGAGACCAGAGAGAGAGACCAGAGAGAGATCAGAGAGAACAGAGAGAGAGACCAGAGAGAGACCAAAGAGAGACCAGAGAGAGAGAGAGATCTGAGAGAGACCAGAGAGCGACACCAGAGAGAGACCAAAGAGAGACCAGAGAGAGACCTGAGAGAGACCTGAGAGAGACAAGAGAGAGACCAGAGAGAGACCAGAGAGAGACCAGAGAGAGGACGGGAGATAACCAGAGAAAGACTAGAGCGAGAGACCAGAAGGAGACCAGAGAGAGACCATAGAGAGACCAGAGCAAGACCATAAAGAGACCTGAGAGAGACCTGAGAGAGACCAGAGGGAGACATGAGAGAGAGACCAGAGAGAGACCAGTAAGAAACCAGAGACAGACCAGAGAGAGACCAGAGAGCGGACGAGAGATAAAAGAGAGAGACCATAGAGAGACGAGAGAGAGACCAGAAAGAGACCTGACAGAGTCCAGAGGGAGACATGAGAGAGAGACCAGAGAGAGATCAGAGTGAGATCAGAGAGAGGCCAGAGAGAGACCAGAAAGAGACCGGAGGGAGAGACCAGAGAGAAGACCAGAGAGAGACTAGAGAGAGAGACCAGAGAGAGAGACCAGAGAGAGAGACCAGAGAGAGGACCAGAGAGACCAGAGAGAGACCAGAGAGCGAGACCAGAGAGAGAGACCAGAAAGAGGACCAGAGAGAGGACCAGCGAGAGAGACCAGAGAGAGAGATCTGAGAGAGATCAGAGAGAGACCAGAGAGAGAAAACAGAGAGAGGACCAGAGATAACCAGAGAGAGACTAGAAAGAGACCAGAGGGAGACATGAGAGAGAGACCAGAGAGAGACTGGCGAGAGGGACCAGAGAGACTGGAGAGAGAGACCAGAAAGAGACCAGAGAGAGACTGGCCAGAAAGACCAGAGAGAGAGATCAGAGAGAGACCAGAGAGAGACCCAAGAGAGAGAGAGAGATCAGAGAGAGATCAGAGAGACTAACTAACTCAGAGAGAGACCTGCGAGAGACAAGAGAGAGACCAGAGAGAGACCAGTGAGAAACCAGAGACAGACCAGAGAGAGACCAGAGAGAGGACGAGAGATAACCAGAGAAAGACCAGAGAGAGAGACCAGAGAGAGACTAGAAAGAGACCTGAGAGAGACCAGAGGGAGACATGAGAGAGAGACCGGCGAGAGAGACCAGAGAGACCAGAAAGAGACCAGAGAGAGACCAGTGAGAAACCAGAGACAGGCCCGAGAGAGACCAGAGAGAGGACGAGAGATAACCAGAGAAAGACCAGAGAGAGAGACCAGAGAGAGACTAGAAAGAGACCTGAGAGAGACCAGAGGGAGACATGAGAGAGAGACCGGCGAGAAAGACCAGAGAGACCAGAAAGAGACCAGAGAGAGACCAGTGAGAAACCAGAGACAGACCAGAGAGAGGACGAGAGATAACCAGAGAAAGACCAGAGAGAGAGACCAGAGAGAGACTAGAAAGAGACCTGAGAGAGACCAGAGGGAGACATGAGAGAGAGACCGGCGAGAGAGACCAGAGAGACCAGAAAGAGACCGGAGAGAGAGCAGAGAGAGACTGGCGAGAAAGACCAGAGAGAGAGACCAGAGAGAGATCAAAGAGAGATCAGAGAGACCAGAGAGAGAGACCAGAGAGAGAGAGATGTGAGAGAGACCAGAGAGCGACACCAGAGAGAGACCCGAGAGAGATCAGAGAGAGACCTGAGAGAGACAAGAGAGAGACCAGAGAGAGACCAGTGAGAAATCAGAGACAAGACCAGAGAGAGACCAGAGAAAGGACGAGAGATAACCAGAGAAAGACCAGAGAGAGAGACCAGAAGGAGACCAGAGAAAGACTATAGAGAGACCAGAGCGAGACCATAAAGAGACCTGAGAGAGACTAGAGGGAGACATGAGAGAGAGACCAGAGAGAGACTGGCAAGAGAGACCAGAGAGACTGGAGAGAGAGACCAGAGAGAGAGCCCAGAGAGATGACCGAAGAGAAACCAGAGAGAGAGACCAGGAAGAGACCAAAGAGAGAGACCAAAGAGAGGGATCAGAAAGAGAGAACAGCGAGATAGACCAGAGAGAGACCAGAGAGAGACCAGAGAGAGACTGACGAGAGGGACCAGAGAGACTGGAGAGAGAGACCAGAAAGAGACCAGAGAGAGACTGGCGAGAAAGACCAGAGAGAGAGATCAGAGAGAGACCAGAGAGAGACCAAAGAGAGACCAGAGAGCGGCACCAGAGAGAGATCAGAGAGAGATCAGAGAGACCAGAGAGAGAGACCAGAGAGACCAAAGAGAGACCAGAGAGAGAGATCTGAGAGAGACCACCAGAGAGAGACCAGAGAGAGAGATCAGAGAGAGACCAGAGAGAGACCAAAGAGAGACCAGAGAGCGGCACCAGAGAGAGATCAGAGAGAGATCAGAGAGACCAGAGAGAGAGACCAGAGAGACCAAAGAGAGACCAGAGAGAGAGATCTGAGAGAGACCACCAGAGAGAGACCAGAGAGAGAGACCAGAAAGAGACCTGCGAGAGACAAGAGAGAGACCAGAGAGAGACCAGTGAGAAAACAGAGACAGACCAGAGAGAGACCAGAGAGAGGACGAGAGATAACCAGAGAAAGACCAGAGAGAGAGACCAGAGAGAGACTAGAAAGAGACCTGAGAGAGACCAGAGAGAGACATGAGAGAGAGACCGGCGAGAGAGACCAAAGAGACCAGAAAGAGACCAGAGAGAGACCAGTGAGAAACCAGAGACAGACCAGAGACAGGACGAGAGATAACCAGAGAAAGACCAGAGAGAGAGACCAGAGAGAGACTAGAAAGAGACCTGAGAGAGACCAGAGGGAGACATGAGAGAGAGACCGGCGAGAGAGACCAGAGAGACCAGAAAGAGACCGGAGAGAGAGCAGAGAGAGACTGGCGAGAAAGACCAGAGAGAGAGACCAGAGAGAGATCAGAGAGAGATCAGAGAGACCAGAGAGAGAGACCAGAGAGACCAGAGAGAGAGAGATCTGAGAGAGACCAGAGAGAGACACCAGAGAGAGACCAGAGAGAGACCTGAGAAAGACAAGAGAGAGACCAGAGAGAGACCAGTGAGAAATCAGAGACAGACCAGGGAGAGACCAGAGAGAGGACGAGAGATAACCAGAGAAAGACCAGAGAGAGAGACCAGAAGGAGACCAGAGAAAGACCATAGAGAGACAAGAGCGAGACCATAAAGAGACCTGAGAGAGACTAGAGGGAGACATGAGAGAGAGACCAGAGAGAGACTGGCAAGAGAGACCAGAGAGACTGGAGAGAGAGACCAGGAAGAGAAAGAGAGAGACCAAAGAGAGGGATCAGAAAGAGAGAACAGCGAGATAGACCAGAGAGAGATCAGAGGGAGATCAGAGAGAGAGAGACCAGAGAGAGAGACCAGAGAGAGACCAGAGAGACCGGAGAGAGACCAGAGAGAGACTAGAGAGAGACCGGAGAGAGACACCAGAGAGAGACCAGAGAGAGAGACCACAGAGAGACCAGAAAGAGACCTGAGAGAGTCCAGAGGGAGACATGAGAGAGAGACCAGAGAGAGATCAGAGTGAGATTAGAGAGAGAACAGAGAGAGAACAGAAAGAGACCGGAGAGATAGACCGGAGAGAGAGATCAGAAAGAGGACCAGAGAGAAACCAGAGAGAGAGACCAGAGAAAGACCAGAGAGAGGACCAGAGAGAGAGACCAGAGAGAGGACCAGAGACAGACCAGAGAGAGAGACCAGAGAGAGAAACCAGA